TGTCTACCTGGGACTCCACTTTCAAGGAACTATGAACCTGCACTCCAAGATCTCTTTGTTCAGCAACACTCCCCAGGACCTTACCATTAAGTGTATAATATTGGCCTTTCCAAAATATAGCACCACACATGAATCTAAATTAAACTCCATCTGCCACTCTTTGACGCATTGGCTCATCTGATCGTTCTGTCATCACAAATGAAGACACAAATTACATCCTAAAAATATGGGGGAACACAGGGCCAAATGGAAAGAAAGAACTGAAAAAAATAGTATTAGTAAGGAAATGGTATTGGAGAAACTAACAGGATTAAAGGCAGGTAAATCACCAGGGCCTGATAATCTTTATCCCCGAGTACTTAAGGAAGTGGCCTTAGAAATCGCAGATACACAAGTGGCTATCTTCCAAAATTCTATAGACTCTGCAAAGTTCCTATGGATTTGAGGGTAGCTAAAATAGCCCCACTATTTAAGAAAGGAGGCAGAGAGAAAACGCCGAATTATAGTCTGCCAGGCCTGTATATATATTAATGATTTAGATGAGAGACCTAAAATGTAATATCTCCAAGTTTGCAGACAACAAAAAGCTTGATGGGAAGATACAGAGAAACTTCAGTGCAATTTAGGCAAGTAAGTGGGCAAATGCATTGCAGATGCAGTATAATGGAGATAAATGTGAGATCATCTACTTTGGTAGCAAAAACAGAAGGCAGATTATTATCTGAATGGTAATTGCTTGGGAAACGGGCAGGTGCAATGAGACTTGGGTGTCTGCATACACCAGTCACTGAAAGTTAACAAACAACAACAGAAATTGCTGGAGAAACTCAGCAGGTCTGGCAGCATCTGCGGAGAAGAAGAAGGGTCACTGGACTTCAAACATTCACTCTGTTTTCTCACCACAGATTTGCCAGACCTGCTGAGTTTCTCCAGCAATTTCCGTTTTTGCTTGCTTCAGATCCCCAATATCCACAGTTTTTTGTTTTATTTTCTTGCTGAAAGTAAGCATGCAAGTGCAGCAAGAGGTGAAGAAGGCAAATGGGATGTTGGCCTTCATAATGGAGGATCTGAGTACAGGATCAAAGATGTCTTGCTGCAATTTTACCTGGAGTATTATGTGCAGTTTTGATCTCCTTATCTGAGGAAGGATGTTTGGCTACTGAGGAAATGCAAAGATGTTTTACCAGACTGATTCCTGGGGTGGTGGAATGGATGTACAGGGAGAGATTGGATTGGTTAGGACTACATTCACTAGAGTTTAGAAGAATGGGTAAGGGGGAAGGAACCTCATAGAAATCTATAAAATTCTAACAGGATTAGATTGGGCAAATGCAAGAAAGATGCTCTTGTTGACCGGGGAGTCCAGAACCAGGGATCACAGTCTAAGGACAAGGGGTTGGCCTTTTAGGATAGAGATGAAGAGAAATTTCTTCGCCCACAATGTGGTGAGCCTGTGGAATTCTCTGCCACAGAAAGCGATTGAGACCAAAACATTGAATGTTTTCAAGAAGGAGTTAGATATAGTTCTTAGGTCTAAAGGGATCAAAGGACATGAGGAGAAAGCAGGAAGAGGATACAGAGTTGGATGATCACGCCTGATTATATTGAATGACAGAGCAGGTTCGAAGGGCTGAATGGGCTACTCCTCATTTATTGGGAAATGTGGCATTGTTTTGCACTGGAAAGGAGTCTACAAATAGCTTGAGGTAACCGAATGGTAAATCTGCTGTTTGAAACTGGTGTTAGATAATGGAAGAATATTGTCTATGACACTGCCACCTCCTTGATCTTTTTCCTAATAGTGCCAAAGCATCATAACATCCACTTGAACCACTGAAACAGGATATGGGGCCTCAGTTTAATAGCACTCAGTTTAATGGCATCAACTGCAGCATTCCATCAGTGCCCCACTGGAATGTCAGCCTAGGTTATTTTCTCAAGTCCTGGAATGGGTGGAGGGAGGGTGTCAAATCTACACCTTCTGACTCAGAAGTAAGTGTGTTATTGACTGAGCTAACTGATCTTCCACATGCTCCATTTATTCAACATGGATCTTAGCAGCTTGACAGGGTTGTCAGGAAGAGTTGTTGAGGCCAGAACATCTAAGAAATATGTCAGTGTTGTTTCTAAAGATCTTGGAGCAAATCAAATAGGCTTCATCTGCCAATCTAATATGGTGACCAAGTAAATCATGAACAGAAGCAATTCCAAATTGGTGTGAGCTAAGTATGTCACATGTGGGGATCTTAAACTTGTGCAGGAAAGGATGCAGAATCAGTATCTGTTCTACTGTTGTTTCTACAGAGATCAGCGAGAGTATGCTGATGGCTCCATGTGTGTGCAATGTCACCCGGAATGTAAGAAGATCGAGAGAGGCCCAACCTGCAATGGGACGGTATGAGGATAAGTGACACTGCCTGTGGGTCAGAACTGGTCACGTGCTTTAACTTTTTAATTATGAAAACCAAAGAAAGTTAACTTTGAAGAATGTTTCTATATTTTAGGTGGAGCCAGCTGGAGGGGAGGGGGATATAGTGTGGATCAATATCTTTTGGGTTTCCACATGACTAATGAGAAGACACCAGCAGTTCCCAGTTTAACATCATCTGGCTGTGATGTTTGAAATGAGTTCTCATCATTCAGCACCCACTTCCGCAGGTATCAGAGCCTGGGAATGGTATCAATCTGGTGTCTCTTTGTGAACTTTAAAAGGATAATCTTAGGAAGGTGCAGGGACAAAATTAAAAGTGGTGATACTTTGAAATGATGTTATGCCAGAAAGCAAATTTTTTTTCTTTATTCACAGCCATAATTTATTTTCTTCCTTGCTTTGTGTCATGGCCAAACAAAATGATGGATGATTTCATCCCAGGCTTCTGCTGTTCATTTTTGATTGCTATTCATCATGAAGTGCACAAGAAGGATCTTGCCTGTAATAATGTGTCAACTTCTGCGTTAGCTTCCCACAGTGACACTGTCTAGGCATTGGCAGGCATGAAATCCTGTCCTGCCAACCCATGGCACAATATGTTGTAACTCACAAGTAACCAGCTGTCATCAAGTGACTGGACTATTCTGGTCACAACTCAAGGTCATGCACCTACCTGTTTCTAGAAAACAAGGCATTTTCAGTGCAATTGCAAAAGTACGTATTCTGGTTCAAGCATAAAAATAGAGAGAACCAGGTCAATGGCTCAATGTCCACAATAGAGGTGATGCCTGATTGAAAAGGATTTGGAGGAAAAATGAGGTGAATCAGTGAGTATCAAGATCAGATTGTTTGTTGTGGATTGGGGGTGGTTGGGGTGAAGAGACTGAGGGAATGAGGAGATTCATAGTTTTCGGGAAAGGGGTCACAACAGGAGTTGGAGTGTTGAGTCTTGATTTCAACATACTGAGAGTGCAAAGAAGAGGAAGGGTGCCATTTATCCAAAAAGATACTCATTTTGTCTGATCTAATCTCATCATTTTTTTTGTTCTCTTCAGGGACCTGCTCACTGCTTTCAGTGTGCTCATTACAAAGATGGACCCAACTGCGTGGCAAAGTGTCCAGAAGGAATCCAAGGAGAGAGGGGTCTCATCTTCAAATACCCAGACGAGAACAAAGAATGCAAACCTTGCCATGAGAACTGTACCCAAGGGTGGGTATGGAGTAACTACCTCGGTTTGGACTGTGGGAGCCCACAGAATTCAATGAGTGGGAGAGGGGCCCACATACTGACTGGTGTGAGGATTATCTCTATGCTGAATAAACTGACTGCCCCCTCAACTGGAACAATAATTACTCTCTGGACTGTTGGCTTAGGGAGGGGAAAAAAAATCATCCAGGGTCCTTGAGTCTTATTACTGTGTAACAACCCCCAGCTGGGACATCAGGATCAAGACAAGATCAGGCATCATCTTCATGCCTCATGTAGTGAACAGCAGGCAATACTCACAGTTAAGGCTCATGCATTAATAATAGCTACTTGAGCTTGTATCCCAGTGAGGACTCAGGAAGAAAATTAGAGTTTTTTAAAAATAAAATCCTGAAGTCACACGCTCAATTAAAATATAAAAAACTGGCTCCTTCCAACGTGTTCATTTAGTGACCTTGCGTTTGTGTACTATCACTGCTGTGCCACAGTAGTTGGAATTCACAAAGGCACATTCCCAATTTTGACTAGCCTTTGGGAGCAGTGCTGTTCACTACGAGGCATCAAGATCACGATCGATCTTGTCTTGATCCTTATGTCCCAGCTGGGATGTGTTACATAGTAATAAGACTCGAGGACCCCGAATGAGATTTCCCTCTTCCTAGTTGTTGATGGCTGACTTGCTCACCTGACAATCTCTCAGTCTGACATTTCAGATTTTGTTTTCACATGAGCGACAGAGCAAAATGCAACATGTATGTTGATTTATTGCAATGCGTACGTTTTGAATCCCTGAGATTTTTTCCACATCATTTTACATTTAAATCGAGTTGTCACTTCTTTCCTGAATGTTGGCCTGAGAAATGCTTTGTGGTTTTCACTTGTTTTTTTTGTTGCCACAACACTAGGTGCCGAGGTTCAAGGGCTGCGGACTGTGGCGAGGTTGTCCATAGGTACAGTTGACTGTGTATATGTGTGCGTGCATGCTGCCTTGTGATTTTCATCTTTTATTCTGATTAAATCCAGGTGTAAGGGTCCTACTGTGCTGGACTGTTCTCGCTATCCTTGGATGGCTCCCATCAAAGCATTACACAATAGGTAACATCCTCCCCACTTGCCCCACCCTGGATCTGAGCTGTGACATGAGAGTGTAACATTACGTTTGAATGGCAAAGAGGAACGATTTGAGAGGAAAATATCACCACTTTCTGTTCTACTGAATAGTACTTAGGAATTTCTCTTGGTGGCTCACATTTAAAAGGCCTATATATATCATTACTTCACAAGTAAGTTGTTTGAGTACCTGATCTGTGTGTTCAACGAGCTGCTCATAATGGACTTGGGAACTGGGATGAAATATTTGATGTTTGGACTCAGCATGTCTGGGCTATGGAGTGAGTCGGGGGAAATCAATCAGGATTCCCACTCCTCCTCGAGTGACTTGTCTGTACACTCAGCCATAAACGTGATCCATGGTTACCTGGCCTAGTGGCACTCACTGTCTAGAACATTACACGGGAGTAACAGCCAATCAAGTGATGTGGCATAGCTCATGTCTGTAAAACTAAACTCCAGCAAGGAGACAGAGCACTGTGGAGAACTGACAGAATGGAAAGGTGGAAAAATAAAATCACCCTCATGCCCTTGGAAGCTTGCTGGTGACAAGTATCATTTTGAATTTGAAACAGAAAAGGGAACATTTACTAGAAGGCAGGGTGCATTGGATACAAAGGTTTTGCTATATTTCACACAAGAAAACAAAGGCAACTTTTGTGATACAGTGCACCAACATTAAATCTGCAGCGTAACATCACCCTGAATCAACAGGTGAGGTCTACATTATCAGAGAAAACAGGTTCTGCGTTAAGAGAGGCCCTGGTTTAGAGGCTGGGAATTTTACATCAAGGCAGGGAGTCCTGTGTTGGAGGTTGCCTGTCCAATATCTGATGTTGTTACTGGATAGAAAATGAAAAGCCACCTCTTTCAGTTATTAACATACTTTTAGATTACTGAAGTCGTCAAGAAAGGATCTTGTGATAAGTTCTATTTGGGGATATGAAGAGATAAATAATTTGTCAATCAAACCTGGATGTTTCACTCCCTGTCACAGTACTCACTAAGTTATCTCTGTTGATCAGAGTACAACAGAAAATAACCATTTATTTGTAACAATAATCTGTGTAGAATGTGACAGTCATTCAATTGCATAATCTGTTGCCATCACCCTCATGCCCTAGAAATAGGATGCTTCCTTTTGTGTCTTTGGCAGTGCTTTTGTTAACCAGAGTTTTGATCACTGCACAGCAACATGCCTTCATTTCTCTGTCCTGCTTTGGTTGTTGGTCTTTCCGGTTTCAGTCAAACCTCATCTGTAAGGGTTTCTTAACAAGAATTGGCTGGAAATCATTCAGCTGCTAGCTCCCTAGTTTTGATTAACATAATATTGAGCTGCCTGGTGGTTCCGTTGCAGAGTGCACTGCCAAACCTGGTGTTGGGCCACATGGGCTCACAGTTGACCCAGCTCGGAGTTGTGTTTACTAAGCTCAAGCTGAAGGGAGAAATCTGGACAAAAAAAGGTGGATAGATTCTACTGTATTTGCTAAACTAAATGTTTTCAACTGAGCTTGGTTCTGGAGAGTTCTTACAGATGAGGTATTTCTGGCTGTATACTCAAGCAAACATTGTCAATTTGACTCTCATCATTTAAGAAGTGCTGCGTCTGGTAGGAATTCAGGGTAGCAACATTATCCTGTGTTACTAGATTGCACTATGTGTTTTGTGTGGAAAGATCTGTCTTTCAGTTTGGAAATTTGCAAATGTGAAATCGGCAGCTGATGATACCATGCAGCAATCTACCACCTCCTTGAATCACAGGGCGAGAGATGTTGGTATGTGCCCACAATTTCCTGCATAATGGGATTTCAAGCTGTCAAGGAATAGGTGATCAGTCTAGGTGAGCCACTTTCACAGTCAAGGAGGAGGAGGAGGAGGAGGAAATGAGTACAAGTCAACCCATTCTCCCCTCTCACATCACCTTAACAGCCTGTCTACTCAGTTGGAAAAATAAATAAAGATCTGGCTGAGAAATTACTTCCTTTCTCTATCGTGCAAACGTAAAGACAAAGATAATGCAGTGTCCAAGGTGGAGAAAGTGGAGTGACAAAATGTTTGTCTCCTCTTAATCTTACATTCACTGAGTAAGACAAGATCACTTTGCAGCAAACATCATTCGGGTTTGTCTGTGTTACAATGTCACTGTTGAAACATTTTCATCAACTGTGGAGAAATCTCCTACTCACCGACCCTTCAGCTATGGTCAAGTTTCATTTGTCTAGAGAAGCATGTGCAGTATTGGAAACAACATTTCATTCTCCAAACCCCCTGTGGTCCTTGCCCTACTTCCCTCCCCCACTGCTGTGCTCTACCACTGAAAATGCAGTGCAATTGAATGGTTTCTTGGAAGCTTAGTTGGTAAAGCTAATCAGAAAAGAAAACTGAACAAACAGGAGAATAAGTCTAGTTCAAAGTAGTAAAAGTATCCTGTCTTTATTGCTACTCAGGGAGTCTTGTTCCCATTCTAAAATATGTTTGTGAAAGCTAACTCACAAAAGGAGACTTAGCTTCTTGTTCAGGCAACTTAGAGAAACTTGTGCAACATTGTTCAGGGAGGGATAAATAGGAAGACTGAATTTATGACCATCAATCTTTAGTTATGTAAAGAAAGGACACTTTAAGATCATATGAATGCATTACAGTTGTAGTGTGCGACATCTACAAGATGCAAAGCACCAAGGTTTCTTCAACAGCATCTTCCAAACCTCTGCCACCTAGAAGGACAGGAAAAGCAGATGCATGAGAATAAGTCACACATCATCCTTACTTGGAAATATATCATCATTCCTTCATTGTCACTGGTTCAAAATCCTGGAAGTCCCTTCCTCGCAGCACTGTGAGTGTCCTTAAGGATTGCAGCAGTTAAAGAAGGCAGCTCACCACCACCTTCTTTAGGGCATTTAGGGATGGGCAATAAATGCTGGTTTTGCCAGTGACAAATGAATAAAGAGAAAGCAAATATAAAAATCAAAAATCTTCCATAATAGACAATTTGCTCATTTGATGATGCTATCTATTGCATATTTTTTTAAAGCAATGTCAATTTAATTTCACGTTTCACTGGAATCATTTGACATTTGCATTGGGATTTTGCTGAGTATTTGGTTTTATCTAATGGCCTGGATATTTCCGAGACTGAGAAAAGTAGGATGCATGGCAATAGATGTCCTTATCATTTTGCAATTATTTTTAGCCTGTTTATCTAGATTCTAAAGATAAAAACAAACCCAAATGCTTAGCATATTAAGCAAATAAAGTTGCCTGATTCTAAATAAACTTCTATCATTATCCTGACAGGTCAAGTCTCATTAGAAATATTTTATTATCATTTTGTGCCATTTCCAAAGGGATTCCTGTAAGTGTGTAAAAATAGTGCAACATACAAGTCACCCTATAACGTAGGTGTAACGTAATGCTAACCACTAAGGAAAGAAGCAAATGATTACATTTTCTGAGCTAAGATTCAAAAGTAAAAGAAAGGGTTTCAGGCGATATAAATTATGATGATGAATGCAATCTGCAGAAAGTCCAAATATGATAAATTTAGAAACAAAAACAGAAATTGCTAGAAAATCTCAGCAGCACATTCTGAAGAAGGGTCACTGGACCCAAAATGTTAACTTTGACTTCTCTCCACAGATGCTGCCAGACCTACTGAGCTTTTCTAGGAATTTGTGGTTTTGTTTCTGATTTCCAGCAGTTTCTGCAGTTGTGGCATTTTTGTTTAATGATAAACTCAGAATTTAAATTTAAGATTATAGGAATAGTACTAACAGTCAGAAGGAAATTGGATACAAATATAAAAGATAAACATTCGCATGGGGAAAGAGCAGACGAGTGGAAAGAAATGTAGCTCCTATGGACAGCTGCTACAGGCATGAAGGGATGACCGACATTTTTCAGTGCTGTAAGCCTCTGTGAGTTAAAGAAAGATTAAAATCCATACCATTCAAAATTGAACTCCCGATTTGCGAAATGGAAAGTGTCACACTGTGCCGTAGCAAGTGTCCACCTGTGTCTCGGATTGAAGCAGAGCAGAGACAGCTTTATGCTAACTGCAGCAGTGCTGCACCTAGCATGGGAGTGTAATGCTGACACTGGGTGCTTGTTTTCTGAGAATTGACAAACCCTTACCATTTTTTCCACATAATTCAACATATCTTCAAAGTTTTCTGTCCTGTCAACAGGGGAATTCTAGCTCATTGGAATAACGAATGTCTTGTTTGGTACACATCTGAAAATCCCCTGTGATTTTTGTTTTACACCTCATTCTCCTCCTTCCCCGGAGCTTTAAAGAACCCATTTAATCAACTTAATTACTGTGATGCACCTTGCTCTTTGCTACTTATGGCTTGGATTACTGAATTTTATGAGCATCAGCACAGAGCTGGTTCATACCATGGCCAATATCTGTGCTGTCGGGTGATGTTAGTTAGTTAGCAGTGTGCTACGTCATTGGTACGGAGGTGCCAATGTTGGACTGCGGTGGACAAGGTCCTTCGTCAGGTGAAGTGACTTCACCTGACAAAGGAGCAGCACTCCAAAAGCTTGTGACTTCAAATAAACCTGTTGGACTATAATCTGATGTTGTGTGACTTCTTACTTCAGTGGGTGGGTGCTGCAATTGGCTTCACATCCTCTGGGTTAAGGAGGGGTAAAACATAGTTAATGGCTGGGAGCAGAAACTAGTAGCATTTGCTGGAAAGTTCAGGTGTGTTACTGGAAGACAGTTTCATTTGATATTTTGTTATTCATTCATGGGATGTGTGCATTGCTGGCTGCCCGTCCCTATTGTGCTACACCTTCCTATTCCTAGAAGTAAATAGCTGACATCTGCTGTGTACAGTCACATGAAAAATACCATTTTGTGAGATACTGGAGGGAAGCTGGTACCTGCAATACACTATCCTAGCAAGAATCAGTTGCATCAGAAAAAGAGCAAAGAAAATTGGGAAAAACCATGAGGAGCTGTTCCTTATTCCTTGGTGAGCTTGACCCTGCAATATGTTGGTGTGACACATGCAGTGTAAACCAACACACTACCAGGATATATTTTACCTTAACAGTTCCACAAATGTCTCCGTAAGTTCCAGCATTTTCCAGATGCCCTTGTTCATTTCTGCAAATTTTAACAAACAAGATATTTTCCTGACTTTTTTCACAGTGAATTTGGTATGTTTTAAAGCTCTGTGTGGCTTCCCTTGTTCTAACCTCTCACTTGCATGTCATTACTCAATATTCACGGAAACTTTAACAATAGGAATTTCATGCTCCATTGTGTGTGACATATCCTGCTTTGACATGCATTGTTTTGAACCCAGACAAATCCCTCAGATTGTGGCAGCAGTGGTCGGAGGGCTGATGGCCGTGATGCTTGTGGTGCTGCTGGGCCTCATTTACTGGAGAAGGCAGATCATTCGGAAGAAGAGAGCAATGCGTCGATACCTGGAGAAGGAGGTAAGAGGTCAACCTGAAGTTGGAACAGATTGACTGTTTTAGGGGGAACTTTTCAGAATGTGAGTGAAGCCGCTATGTTCGGGTTGAAATTGCTTTCTAAAGGTTGCATGGAGCTTCACTAAATCTTGTTAGTTGGCTGGGCTGAGTAAATACAAAGAAAAGAAAGGTTAAACTTCATGAGCATGTTGGGAAAAGTTTTTTCTTTAACAGCTTCTGTCTCACTTCATGGATTTAGATGGAGATATCTCCATTATTGATAGAAGGATGACATTTTGACTTGATTTCTGTTTCTTTTCATTAGATGCTTGAGCCCCTTGATCCCAACGCTGACTCGCCCAATCAAGTAAACACACGAATTCTGAAGGAGACAGAATTGCGGAAAGTCAAGGTGCTGGGATCTGGAGTATTTGGAACAGTGTACAAGGTAAGGTGGGGAAGGATAGTACGTGTGAAATTACAAAGTCAGTCCCTTTCTTTAAACGTTACTTTTCTGAAAAAAAGTGTTGTCGAGGTCTTCCCTTGATGCTCAAGACAGCTGAATTGTAACTACGTGGCCAAGAAGGTGGCATTCCTTTCTCTTGCAGTTGAAGTTGATGGTCACTTCAATTTTCAATTATATGTGGTTTTACATTCAGGATAAAACCAAAAAAATGAATAGCTGTTAGTACACAGTAGGAAAATCATTATTGGTTCCAAAGAAGATGGAAGAGAGCCCCACCAAGCCTCCAGGATAAAATCCCTGTGATTTACAGGGGTGGTTACATGATCCAGTACTCCTAGTAGAGACTGCAGACTAATTTTATGACCTTTGTCTTGTCTCGCCCTCAAAAATCCTGTGTAACTACATGGTACTTGCCCCATATGATCCTCGCCCCACATGATCCTCATACTCTCTTTTCTACGAACATTAGCAAGCAAATGAATACACCCCTGTCTCTGCTCAGACCACTTACTTTTTTTTAAAAGACTGTTCTGCAGGAATTATGCATTTCTGCCCAGTTTTTCTATGCAGCTTACTATTGAACGAACCAACACAAATCATCAGTTACTCTCAATTTGACATTAATACTGCTTGATTTGCATGATGCCAGAATTAGGAGATGTTGTTATAAATATGTGCAGCTTGTTAGCAGTGCTGGGCTGTTTTCACTTCTTACATAGGAACAGATTCTATTCTAAGTGACTTTTAGATTCTCAATACAGTACAGGGATTTAAGGTGAGAAAAAGCACTTATGTCAATACAGAACTGACACAAGAATGGAATTGGGTTGCTCATTTACCAATCTAAACTTGTTACCATTTCTTGGTTAGAAACTGTGATACCTTCGAAAGAGTTTCAGTGACAGGATGTGAAAATTGCTGGTAAAGATCTTTGTGTAAACAATTCAGAGATGAAGTGATGTTTGGCTTAACTTACAACAGTGTCAGACTGGTCATGTGGTGTTGAGCCAGATCCAATGCTAATGGAAATCCACCTTTAACTTTATTCTTGATGATCTTATAACATTCCTGCTCCCAGGGGCTCTGGATTCCTGAGGGAGAGACTGTGAAGATTCCAGTGGCCATCAAGGTCCTGCAGGAAGGGCGTGACTGTGAGACTTCAAGAGGCGTGAGTGAAGTAAGTCTGCTTTCCTTCAGGTCTATGTGAAAATCCACACATGACTATGTATGTAATCCTAACTGCGGCTCCTAACTATCAACCCTCTGGTTTATTGTGTAAGTTATTATTTGGCATGTGTAAACTCGAATTACTATTAGCAGGTTTTTGAAGCATAGGGGTATTACATCTAGGTTTAAGTAAATGTTGCTGGATAAATGAGCATGGATAGATTTCCCTTCTCTAACCCACACCACTGAGATTCCTTGTGCAGACTAGGCTGATATCAGTGAATTCATCACTGACCAACTGAACATGATTGATGGTTTAGTGTCACACTGAGCCGCCAGAACTGCATGTCCTTTCAAAATATTAGAGAAGTTGGATTTAACTTTGTTTTCCTGCAAACAGAGTCATACAGCATGGAAACAGATCCTTCAGTCCAACCAGTCCATGTCGACCATGTTCCCAAACTAAACTAGCTCCACCTGCCTGCATTTGGCCCATATCCCTCTAAACCTTTCCTATTCACGTACTTATCCAAATGTCTTTTAAATATTATAACTGTACCCACATTCACTATTTCCTCTGGAAGCTCATTCCACACACGAACCACACTCTATGTAAAATAAAGTTGCCCCTCAGGTCTTTTTTATATTTTTCTCCTCTCACCTTAAAAAAAATTCCTGCCTCCAATCAGTACGTCCTGTCCTGGGAGTGTTTGATGGGGAACAGTATAGAGAAAGCTTTACTCTGTATCTAACCCATGCTGTCCCTGTCCTGGGAGTGTTTGATGGGGACAGCATGGAGGGAGCTGTACTTTCAGTTTGAAACAACAGAGGAAGTATTTACTCATCGGAGAGCAGCACTGTTGCCTACCCCTTGGGAGAGGCCAGGGCTAACTGTTCAAAGGTCATGATCTGACCTCCAGCCTTCAGGATCCAATGTCAAGTTCCATCGGTGGTGCGGATAGCGCAGACCTCATGTACATGTTCAATACTTGTGGAACTGTTTCTGAGGAAAGGAGAGGATGGAAGAATATTGGTGGGGAAAAAAGAAGCAAAACCAACTTAAAAATAAAATTGTGAGCCCAGTTGGAACGTACAGCCGGAGTACTGACCAACAATTCTCATTTATACAGCATGTTTAATTGTGAAACGTCATGATAACGTGTTATCAGAGAACACTTACCTAATATGAAGCTACATTAGGATGCATTAGGGCAGAAAGTCAAAAGCTTGGTTGAAGAAGTTATAAAGAGCACTGTAAAAGAAGGAAAGAAAGTGGATTAGTTTAGGGAGTGACCTTAGATCCGAGGCATAATTGCTAATGGTGGAATGATCAAAGTTGGGGAGGTGCAAGAAACCAGCACTGGAGGTGTGCAGAGATCTTGGAGGGTTGTAGGACTGGAGGAGGTTACAGAAGCCTGGAGGGATGTAGTTACCAAGTGATTTGAAGATGAAGATTTTAAAATGGAGGTATCACCAGTCTAGGTGCCAAAGTAGGTCAGTAAATACAGGGATGAAGGGTGAACTGGACTTGGTGTGAGTTAGGATGCAAACAGCTTAATTGAGTTCATGTTTGTGGAATGGCAGATGGAAAGCCAGGGAGAGGAATATTGGTCTTGTCAAATCCAGAGTTAACAAGGGCTT